TGGCTAGAGAAAGAAGTAGGGTTTTTTCTTTCATTCATAAGGTTTCTCTCCAATATGAATTCTCTGATACACAGCAAGCTCTGACTTATTCCTGAAGGTCTTTCCACATCCACTACATTCATAAGGTTTTTCTCCAGTATGAATTCTCTGATGCATAGTAAACCCTAACTTACTCTTGAAGGCACTTCCACATTCACTACATTCATAAGGTTTCTCTCAAATATGAATTTTCTGGTGCCCTTTAAGTTGTGAGTTAGTCCTGAAGGCCTTCCCACATCCACTACATTCATAAGGTTTCTCTCCAGTATGAATTCTGTCATGCACAGCAAGGCCTGACTTTCTCCTGAAGGACTTCTCACATTCAATACATTTATAAGGTTTCTCTCCAGTATGAATTCTCTGATGCACAGCAAGCTCTGACTTTCTCCTGAAGGACTTCCCACATTCACTACATTCATAAGGTTTCTCTCCAGTATGAATTCTCTGATGCTCTGTAAGGTGTATCTTCCTCCGGAAACCTTTCCCACATTCACTACATTCATAAGGTCTCTCTCCAGTATGAATTCTGTGATGCACTGTAAGGTCTATCTTTCTCCTGAAGGCCTTTTCACATTCCCTACATTCATAAGGTTTTTCTCCAGTATGAATTCTCTGATGCACAGTAAAGTCTGACTTACTCTTGAAGGCACTTCCACATTCATTACATCCATAAGGTTTCTCTCCAGTAAGAATTTTCTGGTGCCCTTTAAGTTGTGAGTTAGTCCTGAAGGTCTTCCCACATCCACTACATTCATAAGGTTTCTCTCCAGTATGAATTCTCTGATGCTCTGTAAGGTATATCTTCTTCCTAAAGGCCTTTCCACATTCCCTACATTCATAAGGTTTATCTTCTCCAGTATGAATTCTTTGATGCACTTTAAGTTGTCTTTTACTCCTAAAGCCCTTTCTACATTCAAAACATTCATAAGGTTTCTCTCCAGTATGAATTCTGTGATGCATTGTAAGGTGTGTCTTTCTCCTGAAGGCCTTTCCACATTCCCTACATTCATAAGGTTTTTCTCCAGTATCAATTCTCCTATGTACAGTAAACTCTGACTTAATCCTAAAGGCCTTCTCACATTCACTACGTCCATAAGGATTATCTCCAGTACGAATTATCTGACACACAGCAACATGCTTCTTGCTCCAGAAGGCATTCCCATATCCATTACATTCAAGAGGTTTATCTCCAGCAAATTCTCTGCTCTCTGAAAGGAAGAATAAAGAGCTGATTAACCCTGCCTTTTTTACCCTTTCCCAAGGTTCTTAGTTGTTCAAAGGTTTTAGAGCTATTCTCTTGCATTCTCACTTGAAAAGGCTACTCTCACTAGTCTTTCACGAGAGCTAAGTTTATCTTATGTGAAAGTATGATGACTCAAAGGTAACATGTAAATGAATTGACATAGGATGAAATTACCAGGAGG